ATCCTGTGCAAGAGGAGGGCACAGAGATTTTGTGAGCATACACCTGCCCTGGGGGCGGGGGGGGGGGGGAAGAGCTGTGCACAACGTAAGGGAGAAGAGGCTTGTTCTCCCCTCCTTTTTGCTCTGGCTGCTGCTTTGAAGTGTTGCCCCTCTGCCACAGCACCCTGCCTTGGAGCCAGCTGAGTATGAGCTGAAACCTCCACTGACAGCCAAATAATATTTGGGTGTTGGCTATTTTGTCTCAGCAATGAGAGAAAAGTAACCAAGACAGGGTAGAAGTATGTATTGCATGTATGGCATGGTTTATATGCATGTAGTGAACACGCTGTGGGGAGGTTGTTTTGTGCATGCAGATGTGATGTCTGTATGTGTGGTGTGATCTGTGTGGGTTGTATGGTGTGTAGCATCTTGTGCACAAGGGTGTGGTATCAGGCAAGGTTTTACGAGAGAAAACAGATATAACAGGAGATATACAAATGTCTAAGAAATTACAAGATTGGCTTACGATGGTCAGCCACAGAGTCACATGAGGGAATATGCAGAGGGTGTCTACACACTGGAGGCCGAAGGATTCAATCCAAGGTCTGGATTTCACTGCAGTGTCCCATGCAAGTCCACACCAGCAGACTGACAGAAGGCCAAAGGGTCTACCCTGGAAGGCTGACGGCTCTATGCTAGAAAGCCAAAGAGTCTGCACTGGAAGCCAGGAGATGATGTCCAAGCTGGAGCTCCTCCAAAGAATGGGACTCATTCGTCCATCCAGGAGATGAGCCACCCTAAAGAGGGTCTTCCACACCGTAGGGTGTGGAGTTACCAAGTCAGTTTAAGATTCTAAATGTCTCAAACTGACAGTTAATCACTACAGTCTACCCCTTGTCACCTTGGCAACCAGACATTTCTGTAAACCAGTCTCCAAATACAAAGCCCTGCACATAATTGCTCCTAACATGTCATAACTGTCCTGTGTACATACAGAAATGCACCAACTGCCTCACCAGAATACAATGTAAATTTTCTTTGGTTGAGACTTACTCTTATTTCATAACTTCCACATTGTAACACAGGTTTAACAAACTCCAAGAACCAGCACTAAGTCTGTCAACATTATTACATTATTACATTAGAACCACATTTTGGAGGAAATAGTAATTACAGTCCTCTTTTCTGTAGCTGACCGTGGGGTCGTAGCTGGTATTTAGATGACCTCCTTGCGCTACCCATTCTGTATTCCTTTGGCCGTCAGCTGGCACCTCAGCAGGTCTTGGTTCCTTCCCTGGTGGAGTGGCCCACACCTTCCTTCCTGGAGGCTCTGGACCCCTTGTCACTCTGCCTGGATTAGGTTGTTGTAGTTTCCCGTTGCCTTTAACAACAGGACATGGTAGTGCTCAAAGGCGCCCTAGGGGATCTCCTGCACTCCATGTACATCCTTCCTTTCCTCTACTGTAGAGGAGTCCAACTTCCCCTTGACAGTCTGGGTCGGTCACCTCTGCCAACACTGTGTCTCCCTTTTTAGCTTGTTTCTCAGAGGCACAAGGAGACCAGAATGACCAGGGGGAAGTCTTAGCTTACAGCTCAATGGTACCATTGTTGTGCTTCCTGGTACAAGCCTTCCTCCAGGAGAACCAAAGCTCCAAACAGCAACACTTAGCAGAACCCAGCCTGGCTCTTCTCACCACGTCTCTATGCTGACAGCTTCCCTCAGGCGGGCCATCCACACCCAGCACCATGCTGATTTAATTCAGCTGGCGTTAAGTTGACCACCAGTTTTATTGCAGAGCAGGTGTAATGTCTGGGCATGTGATATGATGCCCAGACATCGTATCACATGCCCAGTGTGGAGTGTACAGCGCGCAGTGGGCCCATGCGTGTGGGTGAGTGCCTCCAAATGCGCGGCAGCTGTGAGAGCTGTTCACAGCGATTCTCTGAGCCTGTGCTGTGCAGTCCTCCTGGCGCCTGCACATCCACTGCAGGCTGGACCTGTCCAGGGCTCTCCCAGGCAGGAAGGTGCCCAGGCCATCCCACACCTGTGGCTCAGGTGCATCAGGCCTCCATGTCACAAGTGCCCAAAAAAGCTTAGTGGTTTGATGTCAGCAAAATTTAAGGATGGGGCCACGCCCCACAACTGCAGCGCAGGACCACGCCCCCGGATGCCTGTGCAGGGCCTCTCAGCCCCAGCTCCTCCCTCCCACAGTGGCCCCGCCTACTCTCCAGGCCACAGCGGTAAACCTTGCTCTGTTCGCGCAGAAAAGTGGGCGCCTGGGTGGACCTCACAGATACACAACATCCGCAAATGTTTAAAATTCAGAAAATAAAGAACAAAGGCTGCAAAAACAGCTCGGGGCAAAAGCAAAAAAAAAAAAAAAAAAAATGTGACCAAAAGTACCATCATAAAATTAATGGTTCTGGAAGCGAATCACACTGCGAGGTGAGTCATCTGGGACATAAATGATCCATGCTCTTCAGTCAACCCTTCTGGCCCCAAGAACGCTGCATCTCAGTTTGCTTTTTCTTTTCTTTTTTCTTTAAAAGTAGAAACTTTTTTTTTTTTTAAAGGAGGAAATTAACACGTTGCATAGTGTTATCCCAGAAGCAGTTTCTCGGGCTACAAGATCCAGACATGCAAAATGATCAAATAATGAAAGCACAAACTGTTTTTTGATGAAGTAAGAGATGAATAGTATAGTTATCTATTTGAATACACACACACATATGTAAAATTGTACATATAATCTTTCCCTTCTGCCTTTTCTCTTTTCCCTTATCCTAGTTGTTCTTTCTTTTTCAGCATTTTCTTTCCAACAATCCAGCTATTCCCCTTCTTGGTATTTACCCAGAAAAGTTGAAAACATCAGACCACAGTGATGTATGTGCCCCATGTTGATAGCAGCACAATTTGTAATAGCTAAATCTTGGAAACAAGCCAAATGCTCATTAACTGTGGAGTGGATTTAAAAAATGTGGTATTTAAAAAAAGATGTATTTTATACGGTAGAAGTACTACTCAGCTATAAAGAAGGATAAAATTAATGGATGCAACCTGAGACCATACTCGTAAGTGAAACAAATCAGACTCATTTGTAAATATCCTACTGTCTCCCTAATGAAAAACAAAAAGAAAGAATAATAAGATCCAAAAGGTACAATAGATACTGCATATCGGCTTTTAATGGGGAGAAGCCAGCGGTAGAGGGGAGCAGGGAGGTGAGGGGCGGGCTGGGTCTATACCCAGGGTATGCACCACCCCAGCTCCTCACCCCGTAGACTGGCCTGATTCGGATGTCAGGGTTCTGGGCTAAAGAACCCAGCAAGCTGTGGGGATCCAGACAGGGCTGGGCAGGCAGCAGGCTCCAGTTCTGAGCCCTCAGATCAGGAAAGGCTGCGGTGGTGCCCGGCGCTTCTGGGGAGCAAAAAGGCCTGGGCCGCTCTCCTGCTGTCGGTGAGGAGTGCGCGGGGTTTTCTGTGTATCCAGATGCACAGATGCTCTGGGGTGCTGGGATTTGCTCGGAAAGATGTAAATAGGGTTCTGGTTCTCTAAGGCCAGGGGCACACCCTGAGGAGCATCCTTAGTTGGGTAGGCACCACAGCTATCACTAGGGACAAGGTCTTTAGCCTTCACCTTATAGGACCACTGTGGTGCGTGCTGTCCTCAGCGACTAAAATGTTATCCTGACAGAGTGTAGCCTTGACTTTTCCTCTCATTCTAGGTTCTTACAGTACTATTAAAAGTAAGTGTGAAGCTGGGTATGGTGGCACATGCTTGTAATTCCAGCACTCAGGAGGCTGAGGCAGGCCAGCCTGGGCTACAAAGCAAGACCCTTTCCCCCCCCAAAAAAAACAAAAAAAATAAGTATGAGAAAAGAAGCGGGGAAAAATTCCAAGATTGCACATAATTAAAAATGACACTAAAAGTCATTTTATTTTACTCTGACAAATAAAAAACAGTTCAAGCACCGTATGTATGGGGTGACCCATTTTCCTCCTAGTGGCACTTGGTTTGGAATGAGAAAGGAAGAAATCAGAGCTGTTCAAGGTGTTAATAATCATTTATTAAAATACAGTTTGCACAACCTAAATACTCGCTGACTGAGGAATGGATACAAATGACGTGGTATTTGTATACAATGGAGTACTACTCAGTCACAAAGAAGGATAAACTGGAGATTTTTATGGGTAAATGGATGCAACCTGAGACCATACTCACTAGCAAAATAAGACACACGTGTACACATCGCATTGCCTCTACTGTGAGAAGCTAAAGAAACAACATGTGTGTATGTATCTATGTATAGATGTATTTAAAAAATAGTTAAGGCAGTTACACTCCTGACTTCTCTGAGCTCACTGAAGAGAAAGGTTTGTGTTGGTATTGTCTGGACAACTGAATGCAGATGTCCTGTGCTCTGGGTGAGTGATCTGGGGATGACAGTGCACAATGTATGTACTATAGTTGCCCCTGATTGACGTGTTCTGAAATTTTATTGTAGTTTCTTTCTTCTTTTTTTCTTTATTTTTTTCTTTGAAATAAAATGAGATTTGGGGGGAAAGTACACAGTTTGCAAACCCCATTAATAAATGCAGAGTGAATAATTAAAATGAGACAGAGCACAGCAAACGTACCAGTAAGTACATCCTGTTACCTGAGAGACAAATTTCCTGATTTGCATAGATTTCCTCGGGGACACTGAGGGTGCTTCCCTAGGCACAGATGGGTGAAATATGCAAAAATAAAACTATCTAAAAATTAGCTATGGGCTGGTCCGAGTGCAGTGGTGTTTACAACTTCACTCCCACTGCTTCACTTGACTAGCCTAAAAAAAATAATAATAAATAAATAAATAAATAAAAATTAGCTATGGGCTAGGGACGGGGAGAGCATCTTTTCCTGAATGGTAGTTACCTTCTGGCCTGAAATAAAACGCAACACAGAGCCAGGAAGGCTCAGGGCCTCCCCTCTCCAGGGTGTCGGGAGGAACGCCGCCCCCCAGGCCCTGCCCGCTCACCCTGAGAAATTCTGGAAGATGTCGGCCGCCTGCACCCAGCTCTGGAAGCAGGCGAGGCCCCGCTCTCGGATCTGCTTCCGCCCCTTGTGGGTGATGACCTCCCCATTCTGCTTCACGATCACAAGCTTGGGGGTGGTCGTGACGTTGTATCTCTGCTTCAGTTCGCTGCGGAGAGAAGAGGGGACCAGTGGGTTAGCACCCCCGCTTAGCACCCCATCCGACCGACCCCAAGGGCCCTGTGCTCCGGTGACCCCACGCCGGGCCGCCAGCTCCTGTTCTGTCTGCGCGGACCCAGAGAGCATCTGCAGCCAGGGTTGACCTGTTCCAGGGCGGTGCGGCCCTGCAGAGAGGCTCAGCGCCGAGAAGGCGGCCGCTGTGCCAAGGCTCCAAACTGTCCGTGAGCTCTGCAGCCCTCCGCTCCTGCAGTACTGGACGTGGAACCCAGGCCTCTAGCACACCAGGCCAGCATTCTGCGCCAGCCACACCCCAGCCCCGCTAATTTAAACGCAGGAGGCTGTGACTGGGGGCGGGAGGTACCAAACAGGGAGGGCGGCTCAAAGGGCACAAAGAAACCCAGTGGCGGGCTGACTTTCTGCTACCAGGAGAAGAAAATGTCAAGTACCTCTCTAGGGGTCTAGTTCAAAGCCTCACGAGACGGTCCACCTTACAGGCTGACCTGATCCACGACGAAACATGTCTTAGCTCCTTTTTATTTACTTTTTCCAAATCCATTTTATTGCAAGGAGAAAAAGAAAAAAGAAACTATAACAAAATTCCCAAACATGTCAATCGGGGACAGTGATGGTGCACACGCTGCCCAATGTCACCCCCAAATCCCTCACCCAGACTCGGCTCCATTTTACCATCATTGGTAACCTAGTGGTCTGTTTTACAAAGTCACCTTAATTCATTTAGAGAAAGAAGCACCTGCCCCTCCACTCTGCTCCCCACTGGGCTTCCCCGGGATCACCCCTCTGGGTGGGCAGGGGAACCCCTGTCCTGTTTATCTGACCAGGTCACAAGGCCTCCCGATTAACATGGTCTGTTCCTTCATCCCAAGACCTCAGCCTGGGACACTCCTGTGACCCTCCTGTTACTAACCTGCCTCTTCAGGGTCTCCCCACTGAGTCCCACATCCAGGCCAACAGAGACCCTCAGGGAGTCAGGAGAAAAGGGCTCACTCCCCATACCCTACAGAGAGAGAACACGCTCCGAGTTCAACGTCTGCCCAGCCAGGACAAAGCCAGTCTTGGGCACGAAGTCTGGTGTACAGACCACCTAACTAGACTGCCATGTATTGGAACTGAAAACCAATAAAAAACCATGTTTAAAAACGGGTTTAAACGGGGACATGGTGGAGCACACCTGTAATCCTAGCATTTGCGAGGCTGAGGCAGGAGGATCACTGCAACTTTGAGGCCAGCCTGGACTACATAGTGAGCTCAAGCCTTGCTTCAATTACAAAGTGAGATCTTATCTCAAAAAAAAAAAAAAAAGGACAATATAAATGTAGATTAAGCCCTTCATATCCGAGAGTTTCACATCTATGGATACAAACAATTGCAAATTTAAATACTCAGAAAGAAACAATACTTGTACTAAGCATGAAAAGACATTTTCTTGTCATTCCCTAAACAATAGTCTTAACAGCTACTTAAGTAGTATTTACCTTGTTTTAGGTGTTACATGTAATCTACAGGATTCAAAGTACACAAGAGGGGCAGAGATTTCACTCAGTGGCACAGTGCCTGCTTGGCAAGCGTGAAGTCCTGAGTTCAAGTCCTGATGCCAAAACATTTTAAAAATAAAAAGTATACAGGAGGATGTGCATAGGTTATACACAAACACTATGCCCTTGTATGTAAGGGATCTTATATACACCATTGGGCACCCTGAAACAAACCTCTGCTGATGCCAAGGGGTAGGATCACAAACTGTGGTGATTGTTTAAGTTTTTAAAATGTACAGCAAAAATCCACACTGCCTGTAATTCCTCCCAAGATGCTGCTCCACACACCCAGAACCCACTCATCACAATGCTCTTGCCGCTTCCCAATGCCAGCTCTCGAGTACACCTTCAGGTCTTTGTTGAGCAGTCACGGCTGCCTACATGCGACTGAGTTCTGTGTTTACTGTCACGGTCATTTTGACTCTGGGGAAGAGCCAGAGGTCGCGTGGTGCCCAGTAAAGCGGGTAAGGACACGGCGGTGCTTTCCCAAGCCTGCTTTCCAAGGACGGTGCTTCAACCCAGTCACTGTGTCTGTTTCATTCAGGGTGGTTTTTATCGTACCATGTAGTGACACTCACAGAGGCCTTCCCGAACTGCTTCAGAAAGCCACAGGAACGCTGGGGTGTGCTTGAAGGGAAGGTTGGGGAGGATTAGTGCAATGTGTCTTTTAGCATAATCTTTTTTTTTTTTAATTTAAACACTTACCACATATGTTAGTCACATGCTGTACAAATCTTAAGCTCAGATACTCTTGGGAAGCAATAACCCTAAACACACAAACCCCAAACTCATACACCCTGAAGTCCCAGCTCCTGAGAGGCTGAGGCAGGGGGATCACTTTAGCCCATGAGTTCAAGACCAGCTTGGCAGGCACTGCAAGATCCTGTCAACGCAACAATAACAACAGTAAAGCAAAGATGAGTTATGTTTCTAACTCAAGGAGCTGATGACGGCCTGGCACAAAGGCACATGCCTGTGATCCCAGCACTCAGGAGGCCGAGGCAGGAGGATTGCTGGGAGTTTAAGGTCAGTCTGGGCTACAAAGTGAGTTAAAGATCAGCCTGAACTACACCGCTAGACTGTTTTAAAGAAAAAGAAAGAAAGAATATAGACCAAGGAAAATCACCTCAAGGTAAGCAATAAAACCCAATCTCATTCTTTGGAAACATTAAATGTGTACAAATCTGTGCGAAATGCAGTAACAGGAAGAAGACAGTAGGACAGCAGGAATCAGGGCGTGGCCCCCAAACAGTGAGCAGTCAAGCCCCCTTAGGGCCACATCGCAACTCCCAGCACAGTCTGAAACTACCATGCGTAACACAGAAGGCTCAGCAAAGGCCACCGTGCTAACCCCACTTGCAGAGGTAACAACCGAATCCACATACCCAGACACACGCAAGTTCGTGTCAAACAAGAGGTGTGGGGGCCTGGGTCCTCTCGCCAGTGCATCCAATCAAACCACAGCCAGGAGAGCTCAGCCAGCCGTGGCCAACAAAATCTGGATCCCACACCTGGACGGGAAAGGTGTTTCGAAGGCGATGCCAAGGTTGTAGAAATCCGTACAGCATTTCCCATGAAATCTGAAAAGCCTTGGAAGCTGACTTTTCTCAAAGGCATAAAACAAAAAATAGAGAGAAAAAAACCCCAAAGAGCTCTTTGTATAAAGACTGCAGCCAGCTAGGCATGGTGGCTCACACCCATAACCCAGCACTCGGGAGGCTGAGGCAGGAGCATCATTGCAAGTTCAACACCAGCCTGGGTTACAGAGTGAGTTCAAGACCAGCCTGGACTACATAGTGAAACTCTGTCTCAAAGAAATAAAAAATGTGAAAAATAGAGACTGCGGCCACAGTGCAGGGCTTAATGCTTTTGGCAAATGGCTCACTGGATACCTGAGCCTAAGCACAGGGCAGGGAGGATGTGTTGGAGAATGGAAGCAGATAGTCCTACTGAAGCCACACCCAGGGGCTCTGTGCCTGGGGTGGCATCCCCAGGGCCTGGAGCAGGCCCTGCAGAGCTCCCTGGGCTAAGCACTCACGGGCTGAAGTAGCATCTGCACTCTTCACAGTTCCTGGTGACCCACACCACACCACTTCTCAACCCAGGTACCCAGACAGCAGCCTTAACGTGACCTCAAAACCTGCCTGAACTGCACTCTTTCTGCCCTGGGTAGGAGCCTTGAGATCCAGCCATAAAAGCCCTGGGATGTAGCGGGGCATAGTGGCACGTGTCTGTTATCCCAGCACTCTGGGTGACTGAGGCAGGAGGACTGCTGGGAGTTTGAGGCCAGCCTGGGCTACACGTAAGACACTGTTTCAAAAAAATGAGCTGATTAATACGTGAGCAGCTGGGAGCAAAACAAGGCTTGCCACATCCTAAGTACTTAATAAACCCTGGCCACTCCTACTGAGTGAGAAGATCCTGCCTCCAATTCTAGCAGAGCTGACTGTTCAATCAACACAGCCACTGCCCATACCAAGCAGCCCAGGAGTGGGCAGCCAGCAGCCTCAGAGCAGGAGACTCCGTACAGAGCTGCGTGCTGAGGAGAAGAAAGGCATGTCGCCCTGCTGCCTAAAGCGCTGCAAGGAGACTGCATGTGTCACCACCACCGCAGGCTGAGTGCTAAAGCCTCCCACTGCCTTTACTGCGCGCTCTGAGCTGGTGCAGCTGTGTCCTTGGTGACCTGCAACCCTGAATGACTCCTGACACTTCAAGAAGGGGACAAGGGAGGCTCACGGAGCAAGAAGGGACTTGAAGCCCCGACCTGTCCTCGCCGACCTGCAGAGATTCCTTGAGGTCCTCACACCTGCATCCTGGCACCCTTGCCTGGGGACAAACGTGACCTTGAGTGTAGGGGCAGGCAGAGAGCTACCTGGCCAGGCAGCATCCACCAAAAGCAGAGTGCAGCGGAGAAAACTCAGTCGCCGTCCTGGCTCAGGGGCATTTTAACCACCGCAGGGAGATCCAGAGTCTCACGCACCCTTGTGTTTGTCCTTATCTTTGTCCTTGGCACTTGTGCCGCCTGTCCTTCCCTTCACCTGACCTGGCCACATCCTGTCCCTAACACAAGGCCTGTGGGTTGCCATGGTAACCTGGTTCCGGTTGTTTCTGTTTCTGTCTCGTTGCCAAGCAAATTCCTCCAGTGTGCTTTCCGCTTTCTTTAGTTCGCTCACCCCAGCTGCCCAGCAAGCGCACGCCCTGCGGATGCCACACTAACCATCCTTGGCACAGGCTGTGGGCAACAGGAATCATGGAACCCCTGGGCGGGGGCAGAGCACCACAGGACCTGAGCTGTCCCAGAACCAAGAACCAGCTGGACAGGGGCACTTGGACTTGGGAGCCCAGCTGGGGGAGATTTCTGAGCAGCCCAGCATCTGAGCAGGAAGAAGCCCCAGGGCCTGCAGGTGTGTTGAGTACGGAAGCCGAGGAGGCAGCTGGAGCACAGGGCTGGCAGGTGCCAAACAGCAAGGCCTAAACCAGAAGTCATGCACACACAGGGGCAGTGGCTTGTACCATCGGGTGACTCCCCAGGCCACTCCCTGCCCATGGCAGGAAGCTCCAGCCAGTTTGCTTTTCTACCAAATCCAAATCGTGAGCCTGGAAGGTGAGGCTCCCACTACCTAACCTGCCCTGGGCCACAGGGTGAGAGGCTGAGCAGGCAGCAGTGGGGAAGACGTCCCAGGCCTCTCCCCTTCTGCTGAGTGCCATCAAGACTGAGTGCGACCCGAGCGGTCACAAGACGATCATTATCAATGCACCACAGAGTCACAGAAATAGTACCACGTGGCAGGAACCACTGCTAGCCGGTTCAAAACCTGTTCCTTCGCAGACAGATCATGAGTGTGACCTCATCTGAGACGAGGCCTGTGGGAGCAGCAACATCTGTCCTTGGTGCAGTCCCCACATTAAGGTGTGAGAAGGCTCAGCCCCCTCTCTGATAGCCCCACCATGCGTCCACACCTCCAGGGTCGAGGCACTAGCAGCAAACGGCTCCCTCTCCCTCTCCAATGAAGGCAGCACGTGCTGCTGTGCTGGGCAGGGGCAGGGACTGCACGAGGAAGCCCCTGTCACAACCCCTAGGACAAGGTAAGGGCTCTGAGTGTCTCTTCCTGGGTGCATCACAGCCAGCACCTGGCGGCCACCTCAAAGGTGGCCGAGGACGCCCATGATTACTTCTTCAGAGGTAACAAAAATTCTCCCTTTCTCCTGCTCTGGTGATTCAGCAGGAATCCAGAGGGCAGCAGGTGACAAGCTCAAAGCTCTCAGGATAGGTAGGCAGCACAGGGGTCCCTTCCCTACTCAGGACTCCTGTGACATCAGTGTTTCAGGCTTTCCTTTCTGTGTCACCAAACACAAAGCCTGCCTACCGCACACTGACAACTTCCTCAAATGCCTCCGGGGTGCTTCCAGCCTCTTGGTGGTTTCTCCTCCCATCTGACTCGTGATCTGATTCCACAGATCCAGGCTGGGGACAAGCCGAATTTAGGGTATAGTTCCCAAAATGCCACAAAATAGACTGCTTTCTAGTTCATAAACCAACGGGGTTCAGTCCAGAATGGTGTAGGGACCAGTGCTGGGAGGGGCTCTGCCTTCAGCCTGGGGAGGAACAGGGAGAAAGCATTCCGCACGGCCTGAAAACGATGCTCTTCCTTTCGAAATCCGTGCTCCCCTGGAGTCTGAGGCTCACTGTATCCTCTGAGAAAGGTCCAGGGCAGAGACGGCCCCAGGGTCAGAAGAACGGGACTGTACCTCAGTGGCACATCTGTAAACTGAGGCAAAGGATCCAAGCGCTGATCTGTGGCCGGCTGGCACTGACCCGTGGCCAATCCCCGGGACACACGGCACAGGGTGCACGCGAAACACCTGCCTACTCCCCCAGGGAACCCCGGTGCTGCCCCTCCCAGGGACTGAGCTCCAACCTAATGAGGTAACAGCCACATCTCACCTTCAAAACAAGGGCATCCTTTGAAAAGCTGCCACAAGTCGGGTGCCAGAGGAGTAGATCGCGTTTTCAAACGCACCACCCTACACGCTAATGAGTCCTTACCGAAGTCGCTCGGGCTTTAGCAAGACAGACCCGCTGTCACTGAGGGCTTCTCTCTGCTGGGTCTGAGCTCGCACACCTCAGGCTTCGCAGCACCCGTCTACATCTAAACTACTGCTGTGCCTTTTGCAAAAGGCGCCAGCCCAGAAAGCACAGGGTTGTGAGCTCCGTCCCTCATATCAACCAAGGAAAAGCAAGAAAGGAAAACCCACAGCCATCTCGTAGTGACCTACGTTGACGGTGACACCGCGACTGAGTAAGTCCAGGCTGACTTCAAGAAATTCACGTCTACCCTAGGTAGGGAGGGGCTGGGGCCAGGCACTTTGGGGTGCGTGTTCACCCTCACTGCATTGAGGTCACAGGAGAGCCCACGCCAGCCCAGGCTCGGACATCTCTGGCCTCCCCCCGGGTCTCTCTGCACTCAAGTCATGAAGTTTACACCTCTACAGTTATGAAACCCTGAGGGAGCGAACGGCCCCTGAAGGCGGTAGTCGACTCCAGGAATGGGCGAGGCGGGAGGCGCTGGGAGTGGAGACCGCGAGCCGCGGGGGAAGGGGAGGGGGCACTCACTGCCGGCAGGGGTCGTGGAAGGGCAGCGCCAGCCAGGCGCCGTGCTGCTCGCGCATGAAGTCCCGCATCTCCTGCGCGCTGCCGTCCGCAGACACGAAGACCACCTCGAAGGGCGCCGGCCGCAGCGCCGCGTAGAAGTCGCAGAGCAGCGGCGTGAAGTCGCGGCTGAGCGCGCACCCGGCCGCCGCGAAGTACAAAGCCACCACCTTGTTCTGCAGCGCCGCCTCGGCCTCCACTGAAGCGCCCTCGCGGGTCATCAGGCGCCGCCCGGCCAGCACGTCCACCATGGCGCAGGCTGGCGGGCGGTCACCTGGGGTGGGGGACACCTGCGAAACGACAGTCGCTCGTGGGCAAGGGTCACCTGCTGGAGAACGATCCACCTGCGGGCAGGGGACACCTGTGGGAGGACGGTCACCCGTGGGCAGAGGACACCTGCGGGAGAAGGGTCACCGGCAAGCAGCCAATCATAAACCCTGGCCGCGCGCCGACTCCCTCAGCACTGCTCGCGGGGATCCGGGGTCCGTGGACATCATGGGGAAGGGACACTGACAGACACCGGTGACCCCAGGTCTAGCGCGGCAGCGCGACCCACCGCACGGGCCTGCAGTTGCTGAGCCCCGGCGACGTCCCGCCCTCGCCCCGCCCTTCCCCTCTTTCCCCCGCTTCCCCCCTACTCCGCCCCGACCCCTCCCGCGGTGCCCTTGAACCTCAGCTGGAGCTCAGGCTGACCCCGGGCAGAGCGCAGAGGGTGCAAGCGGCAGGAAGCGCAAGGGCAGCTCGGGCGCTGCGCCCGCCAGCGGCGGGGAGTTCGGGTCCTGGGTGGGTGTGGGCGTCCGTCCTCGCACCCCAGGCCTTGGTCCGGGGGAACCCGGGGTCCAGGCAGAATTGGGAGCCGGTCGAGAGCAGTGATTACGCGGGGCCGGGATGCGGCTCCTGAGAGGCCCGTCCAGCGTGCGCGCGTCCCTGGGCTCCTTCCTGGCGTCGCCAACAAAGAGAAGAAGGAGATTAATTATGTGGCAGCAGCTGCTGGGCCAGTGGCTTCGCAGCGAGCCACGGTCTGCGCCCTGCCCGGGGCAGGCGGGGCTCGCGTGGGGACTTAGCACGGTAACAAGCACCGCGGGAGTCGCGCAGTAGTCAACAGGCTCGGAGTTAATCCCCAAGGCGCACCGTGGACAAAATATGAAAAAATAAGGACAGTGAAGGAAATCAAAGTACGCCATAGGAATATGCCCGCTGGCATAGGGTTGTTTGACCTGGGAGGACTTGAAAATAAACGCAGGAAGAGGCCTTTTGGGCGCCGCTTAAGGACAGATCGTCCAGGGGAAGTGGCGGGGCACAACTGTCACTGACGCTCCGGGCGGAGGTCTGGGCTGCGCGGACCGGCGGCTCTGGGAGACCCTGTCTCAAAATTTAAAAACAGGCCAGAGGAAGCTGGGTAAGAAGACCCTGGGTAAAAGGATGTCCCCCTGGAATCCCAGCACAGGCCAGGCGGGACAGGCTCACTCGCGCCCGCGCACCCCCGGCCCCTCTGCGTGCGGTGTGCGACCCCCGAGGGCCTGGATTGTCCCCGTCACCAGTGGTTCAGTCCTCAGCCCTAGGAGGCCGAAACACGGGAAGAGGGATAGCGGGCGAGGAGCGGTGGACAGGGCAGGAATAGCTCCTGAAGGCCTCATAGCTTCGAACTGCACGGGAGGAAATAAGGTAGGCGGCAGGCCAACTGTTTATCCAAAATACCTGGCATCTGGACGGTCCCTAGCGCAAGTGACGTCTTTCTGTGTTGAAAGACTGTACAGGTCCCCTGAGCTGACCTTACGCGGAGTCCACGTCCACTGAGTGATCAGCTGCCCTGGAAAACCGTGCGACTACTATGTGTGAATTAAAACTAAACTTAGGCTTTGACACGGGAAGTAGAAGTAAGCCCACTGCGAGGGGGGAAAGTGGCTCCCAACACGTTGGACGTCCGATGGGGCGAAGTCTTCTGAAGGCTGAGATTCCAGAGCAAAGGAGAGCGAGAGTGGGAAGATCCTGAGGGACAGAGGGGTCCTGAGTGGAGGCTGATGGGGATGGGGGTGCTTTACGCAGCGAAGCCACAGGCTGGATCCAACTGCGGGGTTACAGTGTAACCCCTGGGTTTGTGCGGGTGGACAGGTTGCGGGGGCGGGGTGCCTGGCGCCTGGCAACTTTCAGGGGGGAAGCCGCAGAGGCATTCCTGCAAAGGAACGGAGGGTGGGCCTGACACTGGGGTCGCCCCCCTAGGATTCTGATGCCTATCCAGGCTCACTCTGAGATAGGAGAGAAAACATAAAGGTAGGGAGAAAGGAGACAAGGAAATCAAGATTTTAAAATTGCACTGTTTTTGTGTGCCGAGGATCGAGCTCACAGCCCGCACTTGCTGGGCGGCGCAGAACCACTGAGCTACCCCCCAGCCCTTTCAACTGCGCTAAGAAAACTCCTCCCTTCCTTACAAAAAAGTGTTAAATTCCTAAAATGCCTTTTACAATAGCCTGCGAATTCCTGGACTCCTTTTTCACCTACAAATTGCCTTTTCCCCCAGCCCAAAGAGCAACAACGGTTGATGACTAATTTATCTCAGCCTCAAACGGGTTGACCTCACTCGACCAGCCGCGACTTCTGGCACCCACAGATGGCTTCCACTGCGGCCTGACAGATGGAGAAACTCAGAGCCCAGGTCACCCGCCTGACACACACCCCTTTAACTGTGCCCCCTGGCTTATAATGGGGCTCACTTCTCTGGGGGCCGATGCTGCATTCCTACCATCTCTGTCTAATAAATCCTACTCATGCCTCTTTCTGACCTGTGCTAGAAATTCTTTTCCTGAGACAAGAGTCAACAAGCCTGCAAACCTTTTTAAGAGGGTGAGATAGGTTCCTTATTTCAACCTCAGGGATCTCACAAATGCTACTGAGAGACAACCAGACCAGTGATGCCAATTTCAGAGTAACCTGGAACTGCTGCTATCATTGGCCTGTCCACCTCGAGGCCTGGCCCTCCCCGCTCAGTTCTGACTTTGCTCATCTCCCACAGACTTCCTCTAGGACCCAGCCCTGTTTGCTCAGGACCTTGCGCTTGCCAGGCAGGCACTTATGCCACTGAGCTGTATCCCCAGCTCCCTCCAATTAATTTCTGATTTAGTTGTCTGTAGTAATATGGACCAAAGCTCTAAACGTCACTCATACTGTGTTTTGACTTGTTTGGCCTTTAATCCTTGACCACTGACCTGAAACGGAGCACACAGTTTAGTAAACAACGCAGCTCACCCCAGAAACTCCCATCACTTGCATAGCTGTGGGGGAGTTGAGTGGGGCAGTCACCACTCAGGGAGGTGCTGAGGCCGGGTGTGGGCACTGTGACCCTTGGGATAGCCTGACAGCCAGCCTGCCCAACACACTCTCCTTGTCCTGGGTGTGAGCAAGCCAGGGTGGATGTCACAGGGATTTCCAGACCAGGCCTGCAGATGGGGAACTAAAAACAGGACCAAGCTCCTCATTTTGGCTTTGCTGTCTGTACGTTAGTGTCTTAACACTGGGTAAGATTCCTGCTCGGCTCTACTGAGGATACACTTAATCCTTGAAGTGTGGAGCGCCCAAAAATTAGTGGCATTAGGTGAATTAACTGAATTTACCCACATATAAGTCATTCTCAAGATTTGCAGTTGCCCAGTTGTTGAAACAATCCTGCCCAGGCCCTCGGGGCAGGAGCAGAGGCCTCTATCTCTGTCTGGACTCTTTAGTCTCCTCTCATTTCTGTGAGAGCAGAGCCTCAAGACAAATTGCCCTGGTAAAACGCTTCCTGCCTGGAGTTATTACCTGCTGGTTGGCGGGACAGGCTGTCCCTCCCCAGGCATGAGCAAACATCTCCAGGGACCCAGACTGTCCCCTCAGGCCCTGAGGACTTCTCCAGGGCCACCCTGCAGAGCCAGTCCTCAGCAACCATCAACCAGACTGCAGTTCTGACCTAGGGATAACACAGGACCTTGGAAGGATCTAAAGAGTAGAAGGGAAATAACGTAAGGCCTATCTGTTAGCGTTCCCTACACCGGTTTTGTGCTAATGTCACAGAATGAACATGAAGGAACACGGGGTTAAGAGAACGCAGCATTTGCTGAGGGGAAGAAGCTTCATTCCAAGAGAGATCCGAGGGGACCCGGGAAGTGGGTTACGGGAGACCATAGAGCAGAACCCTGAGGTGGGGACAAGGTGGGACAAAACTAGGGTTGACCAATAGTACAAGTCCAGTCCTTAGGTGACACCCATTCAGTAGAGAGGCAGGTCGCACAGCAGTGTACAATGAGAGAACAAGTGATAGAATTTTCCGGGCGGAAGGGAACCATCTGATAGAATTTTTGATGTGGCTAAAAAGATAAGAAGTATGAAATAAAAGTGGCCTTTATTTTAAGAATGTGGAGAGAGACTCCATGACCCTCCAGGGTCTGGTATTCTCTCCGCCAGACACGTGGAGTGGGGGCATACATGTAGCTTAGGTTTGGGGTGGTGCCCAACGGGCATTAGTGATGCACAGGTAGCCCATTGGTATCCATTTCAAACCACAGGTAAATTGCCTAGGGGCAGGAAAGGTGACCTCAAGATAGAGCCCCTTGGTTCTGCCTCCCAGCCTCCCACCGGCTAGGGCAAAAACTTTTCACAAGGAGTTTCCCGGAAGGGAAGGGCAAGGTCCTTGTCCCACAGTGACTGATGCCTATCTACGCATGGCTCACTACTGTTTATCCCTGGGGAAGCAGGTGTCACTTCATCTTTGTCTTAAAGCCTGGCCTTCAGGGAAAGCGCCCGTCTACCTGTTCATGCCCCGGTTCATCCATGTGCCCATTCCCTGAGTCATGCCCCAGTCACTCACCCATGCCTGCATCCATCTCCCCCCGCCCAACCCATCAGAGGAACTGTTAATCCTGATGTGGGGAAAGAAAATCCCCGACCTGCTCGGCAGGGGACCAGTTCGGGTTCTCTAAAACTGAAAGAACGAATTTTAGGAACAACGGAAGTTAAGAGTAGAATTTATTTATTAAGAGAAAGAAAGCTACTGTCTGAGGGAGACAGAAAGGGTCCCCAGCAGGTTGTTAGGGCACAAGGTGGGCACGAGGTGGGACATAGATACAGTCAGCCAATAAGCTTAGTGTAATCGCTCAGGTAAAACTGATTAAGTCAGGGACCAATGGGGAAGCAAGTCACATAGCAAGTGGCATGAAACTTGGGTCAGAGGCTCTTCCTGGCTTTCTCAAGGTGCTGGAGACCTATTTAGAGTATCAATCACGGTTGTTTATCCTTAGGAAGTATGTGGGTGAATTTGCTTTATTTACTTTTTGTCTTTTTTTGGAGACAGGGTCTGTGATGCAGCTTAAGCTGGCCTTGAGCTCACAGTGATCCTCCTGCTGGGATCACAGGGTGAGCCACCACGCCTGGCTCAATTTGCTTTATCTTCTGGATTGAGGCTGGCCCACAGCGGAGGTGTCCGGTTCTGCACTGGCTCCTTCCAGGGCCCAGGGCTTCCTGGCTGCCTGTGACTCAGCTGCCTGTAACATGCTCCGCCCTCGACCTGCAGCCAGAATGCAGGGGTCAGAGCTGGGAGGAAGCAGGTCCTCAACGTCCCCAAGGGATCCTGGGCCCCAGGCCTCCTCCCCGGTACTCCGAGCTTCCCCTTTTGAAGACCCACAGCAGCTGTCTCCTTATGGTGTAGAACTCGAACCCGGGCCTGTGTGCGCTGGGCAAGCCTTCCTCCCCCACCAAGACGGACACCCTACCCGCCTACGTGGTTGCCTGGTGTCATCTGGCACTTTTGTGTCCCCAGATTATAGCCCTTGTGAGGGATTCATGTTTTAAAAAAAGAAATTCTCGCTCACACACCTTCTCTGGAAGGATGTGCTGGAGTGCTGCTTTGGAGGGTGGGGCGGCGCGGATGCGTCTGCAGCTGGGGGAACCAAGTCTGTGAGCCGAGCCCTCAGTGAGCGGAGCCTGGTGAGGAAGGCTTCCGAGGCTGCTGACTTAAGCGGCCTCCCGCCCCAGGCAACAGGGCCTCGGGAGAGAAGCTCAGCATTCAATCTCCCCTAATTAGCAGCCTGAGAGAAGATTACAAGAAAAACACGGGAACCCTCCAGCCGCCCCTCCCCCTCGGCTGTCACTGCAGGAAGCTGCCTCCTTTGCTCGAGTCCCCAGTCCCCCTTTTCAACATCTGCCCTGCACAGGGGCGATTACACGTACACGTACACATTAATGTGCGTGCCCACACGCAGACACACGTGAAATACCTTTTTTGGGAAAACAAACATCATTAGTAGGGATGTCACTAAGGAACAAGTGAGTGTCCCTGGTGGGATAAAAAGCAATGAAATCCAAGACTGGCCACCTGCTGACCTGGAGAAGTTCTGTCTGTCCTGCTAATGGAAGCAGCTGACTTTACTTAGCTTTTATTTTTTTGTTTCTGTGTTTGGAGACAGAATCTTTAATGTAGTTTAAACTGGCCTTGAACTCACAACAATCCTCCCGCCTCAGCCTCCCAGCGCTGGGGTTACAGGTGAGCACCACCACACCCGGATCTTTATTTAGGTTTTATTTTTATTTTACTGGTTGATTTTTATCAGTGTTGGAAACTGAACTCGGGTCTTTGCTCTCAACCCCCTGGGCCACATAATTAGCCACAAAGGTGCTTTGATTCCCAGCACACTGGTGCTGGTACAGGGAGGCCAATCCTGGCATCATGGCCACAGGCAGAAGCCCACCCTGTGCACAGTCAGGTCAACTCAGAGGGGCGCAGTGGGGTCATTTGCAAGTGTTAGGGAAGGATGTTCCCAGCACGTGCAGCCTCAGCCACACACTCAGCTAGGGAAGGGGGCTCCCAGACGACACTGTAGGGTACTGGCCCCTGCCCTATGCGTCTCCTGAGATGCCTCCAAGGCCAGTGGTCATCCCAAAGTTAGGAACCTTGAGTATGGACACAGCATCACCAGGGGCAGAGGAATTTCCAAAGCGGCTCCTGACCCAAGCAGGGCCGGCTGCCTGCCCCACCACACCTTCTGACTTTGTGCTTACCTGCAGCTTCCTCATGAAGACCAGCTCACTGGGGAGCTCGGGTGTACCTCTAGCATGTATGAGGCCCTGTGCCCTTACCCTACTAGGACTCGAACTCAGGACCTTGCACTTGCCAGGTAGGTGCTGTGCACTGAGCTGTATCCCCAGCCCCAGTAGAACCCTTTTGAAATTTGCCATTGCCTCTCGAGGGGTGGGCCATCTTCTCCCACCTACTAAGACTGCCACTAACTTCCTGCTCTCTTCCTGGCCTCCCACAGAACGCTGCTGTTGAGAGGTTTTCGGCTCTTGGTGAGGCTGTCATAGTGATGTCACTTTGGTAGACACTGACGCAGGTTCACATGCTGTTGGCAGGGGAACATCTGTGAGTCCCACCCGATAGAAGTCAGATGCGTATTCCCCAAGGACGAAGGATGAATCAATCATACAGAACAAGGTAAAGAGTAGGAAAACTTTACAGGTACAAATTATCTATTATGAGTGTGACCATTACAAATACCTAAAATGTACCAATAAAATATGATTGAGGAGGAAAAAAAAAACAGGAAAATTCACTGGGGAAGCACAATAGCTCCTGAGAGACAGGAAGGGTTCCAAATGTATCCACCAATGCACCCAGCACATCTCTGGGAAAGTGTCATTCCCCCCCCCACCCCCCACCCCCGCCCCGGTACCAGGGATTGAACTCATGTCCTCGTGCTTGAGCCACTGAGTTAAATTCCCAGGCTTTTAGAGCACAGTCACAAGGGCTGGGTA